GTGTGACCGTGTCCAACCGTCACACAAAGAAAAGACAGTCGCAAAAGTACTATTGATACTGAACGACTTAAGCGAGTCAGCATATCTGAAAAACCACGCTTGTCCAACCGAGCTTATGGTGGAAAGAAATGTGACAAGTTACATATTATTCCCCGCTTTTAACAACCTAGAAGCATACAGATTATTGAGCGCGTCTCAACTTCCAGTACAATTCCGCTCTTGGCTTGAACGCTTTCTACATTACAGAGGTTGCATTCTCAGAATAGGTTGTAAAATTCATGAACATTTGGCGTCTTCATGTCAAAAGCTGTGGCAGTTTAGATGTTCCAAAATGGCAATATTGGAGGCAATGATTTTCGTGCTCGATTTTCCTCTTTTGCGCGACCAGTGCCCCTTCACGAACTAAATGATGACGATTTTGCTGCAAACAAAAAACTAGAATTTCTCGCATCCAAAAATGCCACCAAATCAGGGACCGTTAAAAAGGGAAAACAAAAGTTGATTCAAGCTGAATAACGATTTCATTCATCTTCGAACTTATCATTTATGAAAATTACCACTGAAAACAAATCTATTCCTTTCAAACGAAAAAGGCTAACGTCAGGATCGAACCAAAACCATAAAAAGACACATATGGTACCACTTACAAATCAAGTGCCACTACAATCCGTCTAATCATCACCGCTGATGCTCCAACAGTCACACCAGTCGAATTTTGTGCCACAAAGCGACATATTCACGGAAAGTTTCATGCGACATAGCATTGACTCAGATGGCAATTGTCTCTTCCGGTCAATCTTTGTTGCACAATGCATGCCCGGGATTCAACATATTAAACTGCAACGGATATGCGTCTATCGGATAGCTGCAAATTGGGAAACATATTCATTATATGCAAACTTCTGCAATAAACCTGATCGCCCAGATGCTCCAGACGTGCAAAATGTTCATCCCTTCCCAATGTTCCCAAAACGCTGAAGCTTGCACGAATTATATGAGCCAAGATGGTATATGGGGCACTCAACTTGAGATCAATGTCATAGCATAACTACTTCAACTTCCGATTTTAATATGGAAGCTGGCCCACAAGAAGACCAATGGACATCATAAATTACAATATGCAAACGAATCGATCAGCAAATATGATACATATCATTCATTGTAATGGCAATCATTACGAAGCTCTTACTTATTCAAGTCATCCAGATATCAATGTGTCACGAACGCACGAACTTGATGTACAATAATTGGCCGGACGTTGTCTTATCCAAATACTAAGTCAAGAACAAGCAACTCAATCAAAAATACTACCATATCTAAGATTTGCAGGAAACGTCTTTCATCAATAATCAACCTTAATGCATGTAAAATGGAAAAACAACGAGTTTCTATTGGTAACTCAAATGCCATGATGATCATATTAGAGCTTGGGCCAATCAGAATGCAAGCAATCACTTTTACGAATACGAGCAGAACAACATTATGCATTGTCCTCTTTGACAGAGATAACGGCATTTTCAAACGCCTCGCTCCTGATGGATGCAACACTTTGACACGGCGGCCGCAGAAACGTCGCTGTAAACCGACATGAGGTCCAGAGAGAGCCTCACATTATCTTGTACTTTTCTTTATTTTGCGCATCTATATTCTGACACTAGAGTATGACGTTTCGGCAGCAGAAAAAGTAAAAGGATATAGCGCTTGAATATGAGTGTCAAAAAAAAAATGCTAAATCGCGGTGCGGTGTGAATGCTCGGTTTTGCAAGGTACAGGGGAGGCGCCGTGCCGCATAGGTTCTTGTTTCTGATTTATTTACACTCGGGATTGTGCCCTAGATAAGTCAGATACAAATTGGCCAGTTACTTCAATAGCTTATGATTTTCTCTATATGTTTACAACTGTTACTCGACATATACAGGCGGCCGTGGGCACCGCACTTCCAATTCAGTGCGACACTGCTTTGTTTGCACGCGAGGAACACGCGGGTGAGGAATGACGGCAGGGTAGGCTGCGGGTAGCAATAGCGGTACCCCATGTGCACAATCGTCAGTGTTAAATTGTACTCACGCTTGTCGTTTGTAGTGTGAATGGGGGCCCCTACAAAAAAGATTTTCGGGGCATCGGACCCAGAAAGCCGTGGAAAATCCAGCTCAAGCACTCTCAGACCTAAAAGCGGCCACTGAGTGGCCTTCGATGGATAAATTGCGCTTAATAGAGTGATCCATTCTGGAGCGCCACTTCGCCCCATTTCAAAACCGCCAGGGTAAAAGCACCGAGCTCGTTTTTCCAAGGAAAAAACCGAGCAGGCTAACTTAGGGTCTATACACACAGGGCATGTGAACTTTTGGGCTATTTGCCAAGAACCGAAGGTGTTGTTTTGCCCAAGTTTACTTTGTCACTTCGGAGGGTATCTTCCGCGCGCAAAACTGGTCCCGTGCGATGGTGAAATTGTCATCGCAAAATTTTACTTCTTCACCACGCTCGATCTGGAGCGTGGTGACGATTTGGAACACCGCGGTGTTTTTGCTGACGTATGACCGTACGAGTCGGGGAATTGGAATTGAACACCCGCGGTGTTTTCTTGGCGACGGCGGTACCACGACACCAGTGCTATACTGTCGCTCAAAACAAAAAACACCTTCTCTGTGTGAAAGGACCCTAAACTAGAACGGGACCCTTTTGGGTGAGTCCGCTAGGCATGCTATATGGGGCTTTGTCCGGGCTCATTTCGAAAGCAATCTTTAAAACTACTGAAGACCGTCATAAGTTGTAGAGTTAAAAATTGTGAACACTGTCAGCCGTCAAAGTAAAGTGGTAGACTTTATCTATAATCGAACGGGCTAGACTTACCGAAAGAACCCAACTATTTGATCGACGGCCTGCGACAGAAGCGCCGAGAATCGCCGACTGTCGCAAACCGTCGATATAAGCCACGGACGGACAGGATAAATCGTAAAAATTGTAACCCAAAGTCAATAAATGTAAGTCCGGTTTAGCTTAGAAACACTCCTCTGCCTATGCGAGGCAGCTTTTTAAAGGTTTGTATGACTTACGATACTGAGTAGAAACCGTCTTCAGCAATTTCCTGAGCATACATCATTCGACGCGATGAACGAAGCGATCCGCCGCTCCCTCGAGAACCGAGAGCGGGCGAGGTCGTTGGCGGAGGAAGAGGCCCGCCAGCTTCGCAACGCGATCGCCGCGTCGATGAGGAACGAGCAATATCGTCGATGGCGGGAGGAGCGAGGCTCGAGGGACGACGGTGCGGGCCCCTCGACGCAGCAGCCTCGGAAGCGCGACGACCCGGATGATAGAGGGAATGTCCTCGCCAAGAAGCACCGCAGAGTGATGGAGGCGGGCTACGTCCTGAACACGTCAGACTTCGGGAACAAGCTGGATCAGGCCTCGCAGAGGGAGATCGCTTACAAGCAGCTGGACCTCCCTAGGTTGAACTCCGGTTTCGCGGTCCCCCTCGTGGCCGATCCTCAGGGGCTTTGCGCGCGGCGGGGTTACGATCTCCGGACGAACTACGGCCTGGTGCTGCAGCCATATCAGGTCAAGGCCGTGTGTCTCATCATGAGGCCGAACATCCGGGGCATGTTCTTGAACTACGGGATGGGCGCGGGCAAGACGTTGACGGCCGTCGCCTGCGCGGACAACCTCTTGCGGACGGACCCCACTTACTCGAGCATAGTCGTCATCTGTCCCGCCGGGGTCAGGGATCACTTCGAGAGGACCTTCTCGCTCGTGCCCCTGTACGGCAAGGGCGCCCCGGTGCGTCTCTTGAGCTGGCACGCATTCAGGGGCGTCGTCACCAAGGGCCAGATCATCGAGCTGTGTCTTGGGCTCCATCTTGATCATCGACGAGGTGCACAACGGCAGGGTCCAGGAGGGGCAGATGGCGTCCAAGGTCGTCCTCGCGTGCAGGGCGGCCCGCAAGGTCATACTGATGTCCGGGACCCCCATCGTGAACTATCCGAGCGACATCGGCGTCATAGTGAACATGATCCGGGGCCCCAACGCCATACCCAGGACTCGCGAGCAGTTCGACATGACTTTCGGCATCGGCGGGCTCGAGAAGAACTTCGACCTCCTGCGGCGGGGATTGGAGTGCGCGATGCTCCACCACAGCCGAGACCCGGGCGACCCCAGCTACCCCCGCCGAATGAACGCGCCCGGGCACTTTTACGTGATGTCTCCGGCGCAGCGGGAGGCTCACGACCAGCAGCATCCTCCCGACGGCGACGACCACCGGGTCCTGGAGACGGACCAGTACTTCACGCGCATGAGACAGATCGCCAACGCGGTCTATCTGGACCCGGGGGGCCGACCCCTGCGGGGCGACGAGGACGAGCGCGCCGTCGAAGACGCTCTCGAGAATAACAGGTTCGACGCGCCGAAGTTTCGCTCCGCCGTCCGCGCCTTCCTCAGGCGGGGGATGCCCCAGACCATGTTCTACACGCATTGGCGCCGGCACGGCGTAGACATTCTGGTCAAGCTCCTCCTAGATGCCGGAGCGCCGTTCGGAGTGTACGCAGGAGCGGGGAGGGCCGACGTGGTGCGTCGGTTCAACGCCCACGCGGGAGATCCCGAGCGGTATCGAGCGATCATCCTCACGGACGCCGGGAGCGAGGGCTTGAACCTGCTGGACACCCGGCAGGTCCACGTGATGGAGCCGCAATTCAATCGCAGTCGGGTGGAGCAGGTCATCGCGAGGGCCATCAGGAAGGACAGCCACGCCCGACTCCCCCCGGAGGAACGGACGGTCACCGTGCACGAGCACTTTTGCGTGATGCCCGGGTCCGTCGAGGACGACGCTCGGCTGGTCCCCAGGGTGCCGGGCTGGCTGACAGCCAACTCGGGGGATTCGATCGTGCGTCAGATCGCCGAGACCAAGCGAGCGAGGAACGACCTCTTCGTGCGGGAGCTGGAGCGCATCGCCGGTCAGAACGAGGCAACGTGCTGAGGCCTCAAGCGTTGTATAGGTTCTGCACCATGGCCAGGCTCGCGGCCGAGGGGGGCAGGGCGATGCGGCCGTCCGCGGGAGGAGGGACGGTCGAGGGACGGGCCGCCGCGGTCGTCGCGCTGGCGGCTTCCATGCCGAATAGCTGCGGTACGGTCGTGCGCACGGTCGGGGAGACGGCCGGCCCGAGCATGGGTGCCGCCTGCACCAGGTCCGCGTCAATAGTCGGGACCATCTGGGTTAGGGGAGGGGACACTGTCGTGGTGCCACCGGGAAGGGACGTGATGACGAGGGGACCCGAGGCGGGATCCAACGGCTCTTGCTGGTTGGTGACGAATCGCGAGTACGAGAGGTCCGACTGGCCGAACGGCCCACGCGTCTCGTCGGCGAAGTATTCCACCCCCGACCGGCTGCCGATGCACGAGAAGAAGACGGCGGCCACCAGCAGAGCCAGCAGCAGG